ATGGAAATATTTGAAGCTATAGTATATGAAGTTTTATCCAAATATCTCAAGGAAAAAGACAGACACTATGGTAACTATTATTCTTTAAAAAAATTATTTAGTTATTTCTTATGTTTATTTTAATTAAGGGAAAAATTTAAAAAATTAGGATATATAATAGTAACTCTTTTCGATTTCCTATTAACTTGTTTTGAAGTCCTGTAATGCTCCCACGATCTTGTTTTGACTGATTAGACTCTGTTCCATTCTGTGGGATAGTATCAGGTCCGAGAGTATAGGCAACTACTTTGAAGGCAGTAAGATTCACTAAGATGCCCATTCTGGTTTGACTATTGTCTCCTTTGGAAGTCCTGTAATGTTTACAATGTCTAAGTTTTATTGGTCTTGTTCTCTACTGTTTTGTCCAACTTTATAATATCTAATGAGATAGACAAATCTTTTTAAGGAAACGAGACAACGTTGATAACTATTGTTAATAACCGTATACTCTGTTCTACATCATGTGCTAAGTCTATCCTTGGTTTTCACTGACAGCTTTGTTCTGCCATATTTGACTTTATTCTCCCCCCCCAAAAGTAATAAGAACTAAGGAGTAATAAAATCTAAAATGTGTAAATTTTGTTGTAAAAAGAGAGGAAGGGGAAAAAAGAGCTCTAACGGATATAACAGCAAGTGTGTATAGGGATGTTGAATAGCTGACTATATTAATGTTTTTGGATCATTGAACACAGCTGTTTGTAGTCTCTCTGTTTGAATGTCTACTTTGTATTCTTTGATACTGTGATTTGAGCAACTATTTCCAAGATGATAATATGTAATCTATTAACAGGTGATTTCTTACTGTTATGCTTTTTTTTGTAGTTCTGTATTATATGTAACCTTACACTGCTTTGTTTTGTTTTGTGTTTTTCTCTTTTTCCTCTTAAATAAAAAAAAAAAGAAAATTTAAAATAAAATATAAATTAGATTCAGTTTCTTACATGTTGTGATGAAAATGATTATGCAGTATTGGTGAAGATATTGGCAAGAACAAAGAATTGCTACAACTTTTATAAAAGGAAATTATCAATGTAAACTGAAAATTTTTAACACTCATAGTCTTTATATTGGTCAGTTTTTCTGTTGCTGGAACAAAATACTTAACATACACAACTGACAGAGGAAATGTCTTATTTGGCTCACAGTGGGTTTCACACACGCCCGACTAGTTCTGTTGCTGTGAGTCTGTGAGGAGGCAGAACACCATGGCAGAGGTAAGTGATGAAGCCAAGCTGCTCATTTCCTGCTGTGCTGGAAATAGAAAGCAGGGAAAGAGCTCAGAGGAAGGAGCCAGAGGCCAGATTTAGTCTCCAAGGTCACACCATCTTGACCTATCCAGATCCACCAGGAAGTGTGCTGTACTAGCGTCCTAGGCATGTCTCAAGCCGATCATGTTAATAATCAAGACCAACCATCACACTGTTTCACAAAAGAAATATTAAAGATTAGACACAAAAACGTGGGTAGGTAAAATTGAAAGTGCATATATTTTCATGCAAAATTTTATTTGAACTGGTAAAAATCACTTAAAACTTCCAGAAGGCCATCATGAGAGAAGTGCTTGGTTAGGTTATGGTAAAAATAGTGAGTTCTATGCAATAATTTTAAAATAGGCTGTGTATATATTTACTACAAGAAGTTATATATAATATTGCCTAATAAAAAGCAAATTCAATTATTAGATAGATTGTAACCATATTTTAAAAAATGAAACAAAATGAATTTTAGATATATGAGCATAAATAAACATTTGTGTGTTTTATGGAAAAAGATACGAAAAGGAATACAATAAAATAGTGAGATTAGAGGGAAGATAAATCAAGTTTTAATATTTTACTTCTACAACACTGTATTGTTAAACTCATTAAAATAAGCATGTATTATTTTGTAATAAAAATATGGCAAAATTAAAACTAGTAAAAAGATATTTAATTTTGGAGGTGTATTTTACAGGTGCATATCAATTAAGGTTTTCTAAAGAAACAGAAACCACATCTAGAATGTGCGTGTGTGTGTGTGTGTGTGTGTGTGTGTGCATGCATACATGTGTATAGAGATATTTAATTTAAATTCATATTCATGCCACATCCAAGGAATATATAATATATAAATAAATGCATTTCCAATGCAAATATAAAAATATTGATTGATTGACTTATTTTAAAAAATTTGATTATGGGGTCTGGCAAATATCACATGTGTGGTCTAGATTGGCAGACTGGAAACTCCTGAGGCACAATTTCTTTTTCTTTTTCTTTCTTTTTTTTTATTGAGAAATCTCACTTTTTGTTTTTTAAGGAATTTCAGCTATTTTTAAAATTTGTAACTAGTTCAGCTATGAAGCCCACTTATTGAGTGTAATTTATTTTATGTAAAATCAACTGATTACTGCTGTTTGATGCATCTACAAAATATCCGTAGAGCACCACCTACACTGGTGCTTGAGTAAATAATTGGATATTTTTGAAGAGTCAAAATGACACATGAAACATCTACAGCCCACACTTGAAAAACTGGTACACATATTGAGACTTAAACCATACCTAATCTCCAAATATGGACAAGACCAGAATCATACTTCCACTTAACACAATATAGCATAGAACCAAAAATAAATGTACCAACTTTTTCTCAAAGGGAAGCAAAGTCTTTGGGTGATGTTTACTTTTTACTGGACATTTAGTAACCTAAATATTGCGATATAAAGGTAGATAGTCTTTCATAAGGATGATGTGATCAAATAATATGATGAATGTTTATAATTTTAAAATGTATTATATTAAAGAATCCCTGCTATCAATCTGCCTCACGTCAAATACATTTACCCCATCATTCTTGCCACATTCCAAAGCAGAACTGAAAGTTTTCTTTGTGAGTATAACTTAGTTGTGCTGGTGCAGCTGCCTCAGTGTTCTGAATTGATTCACATTTACCTTTCATGACCATTTTGACTTTAGGGCTGAGCCAGGAGTCACAAATCTGCAGAATCAAATACACGAGGAGACCTGATGCCTTTCCATTGGATGGCACTTGGTAGCAATTCACCGCATTTTTATGCATTAAAACACTTTCAGAACTACTTTAGAAAGTGGGAAGAACCATGGGATAAATGTATAATGCTAGTTTTTTGGCGCAATAAAGGAGTAGAATATAAAACTAAAAGTGGCCTTTATTCTAAGGATGCGGAGAGGAGCCCATGACCAGGAGTGCTCTGGGTTTTTCTCCACCCTGGATATGGGGTGTAGGGTATAGGTAACCTTTGATTGGGGTCGTGGCTAGGGCAGGCATTGATGACGTGCAAGAGTTGATTGGAATTTTCTTTGTGCACACTGAGAAAGGACAAAGGAAGTTGCAATCGGGGAAGGAGGAAGTGACCTCAGGGTAAACATACCCGATCTGGCCTTTCACCACCATAATGTCCTGTAATTTATTCTAGGGTAAAACTATTTCATCTATGAAGCAAGGGAGACTATTTGGAGGGAGATTAATGACAGTGCGTCTTTTAGTGTAATAATTTCTTAAAAAAAATCTAACATTCACTGTATGTTTTGATTATATTCTTATATGATTGTGATAAGGAAATAAGACTGGGAAAGATATTTTCCACACATGTGTATTCCAAATGGGGAAATGAAAAAAATTTTCTTCACAGCAATAGTTAACATTTATGCCACTGGGCTCAGAGTTTTAGCTATATTTAAAACTACAATCTTTCACTACATAGGTTGTATGACTTATCCTGGTGCAACTAACATAGACTATAAGAAATACAGATAGGGAAAAAGAAGACGAGGAAAACATAGTTTTTAAATTCTACTTTTAACAAAAATTGTAGCTTCAGTAAATAATCTAGTTCCTTAGGAACATAATAAGAGTTGGACATCCCCTTTTACCTGTCATGGGCCTTGGCCTTTCCCTGCTACCTATAAATAAGCTTATTCCACCTGTGAATAGAATACCCACTTTTGCTTATCAAATGAGCTTTTTCTTGTGAATGGGCTACTGCTGTCACCCCTGTGGTGGCTACCACTGGTGAATGGGCTGTCATCCCTCTCCTTTCATCTGTAACTTGAAGGCCACCTTTTTATAAATTCACAAGCTCCATGGATTTCTACTCCCAATCTCCATAAATATACTCAGCCCAAGACTAAAATAAGTCTCATTCTTTTGGTTTTTTTGTCTTTTTAAGTGAAGTTCTCACTGTGCAGTTCAGGCTGGCATTGACTTCACTTTGTAGCCCAAGCTGGTCTGGAACTTGCAGTGATTCTCCTGCCTCAGCCCCACAAGTGCTGGGATTACAGGTGTGCAACACCATGCCTGACATGACCCTCATTCTTGTACACGTACACTCTGCTCTGAATGTGTACTTTCTTTCCTAAATAAAACTTTTCAGTGCCTCTTACTATTTATAATAATGATTTCCTGGGGTAGGAGTCAGTAAACTTATTCTAACGATGAGTTGAAGTTCTCTCCTCTTTGGGAACTTCTTTAAACCTCTTCCAATGACAGGGCATGATAATGCCAAGAGACTCCCTGCAGGGATCCTGTGTTCCAGGCATCCTCTTCCTCATCTCCATTGTAGAGTAGCAGCCCAATTTTCACTTGGTAGTCCCTGCGGTCACTGCATAGAGACAACCACAGGCATGGTTAGGGAATAGGCAGGGCTCCTCTCTGCCACTCAGTAAAGCATGATTTGTGTTTTCTTCTAGAACAAGCAGAGCCAAAGAAGTCATTTTTCTGTTATAGACCCTGGTTTTTCACTTGGGTGTATAGATGAACAATAGATAACTAAAAGCAGAACAAAACTTGACAATTTTGTATCTTTATTAAATTAAAACTTTGGGTCAAATTTCTTATCTGCTTTGCACATAGGCGTGCTAATCATTTAAAGCATTTCCATATAAAAGTTGGCAAAACAAGATTGATTAGCATTGAATTTACACACTTTCATCTCCTCCAAGGTTGAGAACACTAAGACAGAGCATTTCCAGAACCATTCGACTCTTCTTGCAAGTCCGCAGCCTCTATCCTGAGCCTGTGATCAGCTGGAATTCTAGGAAAGATGGAGCCACATGAGACAGAGAACAACACAGTTTTTTCTATCTTCCCCTAACTTTCCAATTAAAACTTTTTTACTATGAGTTTGTGGTTTAGTTTTAATTTCCATTATTACTAAAACTAGCAACCCAAGCTAATCAGGATAAATCACCTCAGCCAGTATATTAATAAATCAGATTTGCTGATATATCTGGTAGATTAGGAACTTAGGAAAATGATAGGATAGGAAAGAAATGGAATCCATGCATCTTTTGATTCTGAATGATCTTTTGATTCAGAGACATAAGAATCTCAAAGTGGTTGGTGGAAGGATTAAAATTTGGTTCAGTGGAATCATTGCTCTGTATCCTGGTAAAATAATTTCTTTTTTTGTAAATAACCCTTCTTGGCCAGAAGAGCACAAAGTAATGCAGACAGGAAATAACTCTATGCATAGACATAATGAGAGTTAGATACGCATAGACATAATGAGAGTTAGATACTAACCATATCTGCAAAATATATTTGCATCAACATCTAGATTTGATAAATAGGTATTACAGGCTAGCCAAGGAAATACACAAAACTCACAAAACTATCACAACAGGAGACAATAAGTAGCCCAGGTTGACTTTGGTTCAGAACATTATGTTTGACTCTGACCTAAGGTAAATTTGCTTTAAATGGTCTGAATTTATCTAAAAACATTTCATCAGAATCTGAGTTGGACACTTCACAGAGTATTCCCAGCTGATTATACATAACATTTTAATGAAATAAGAAATGAAATGAATTAGGAGATCATCATGTTTGCTGATTTATTTGGCACTTTAGGAACTTGGGAAAATGATAGAAACCATGAACACCCAACATAGGAAAGAGAAGGAATCCATGAAACATTCAAACAGATATCTAGGAGAATAAAAATTATTTTGGAACAGAATGAACCAATGTGAGGGCAGAATATCAGATCTAGAAGACATGAATGCAGTTAGGGATCATGAAAAGAAAGATTTCTTAAAAATAGCAAGAAACCACAAATAATCCAACAGCTATGAGATTATGCAAACAAGAATAACATAATGTTGATCAGAGTCAATGAAAAAGCAAGACACAGTGCAAACAACATTAAAAATTTGTTCACAAAAGTAATGGCAGAAAAAGAATCTGATATACATATAAGTGAGGCAAATAGAATTTCAATGAGCCATGACAAAAACCTTCAGCCCAGACTGAGGTATTCCATAAAATTGTCTTTCAAAATACATGGAAAAATAAGATATTCCATGTCAAAGAACACCTGAAAATATTCAGAACCACCAAACCAGCACTCCAAAATGTTCTGAAGGATATTTTAGAAAGATATAATATAGACCACAGCTCCACGAACCCTAACAGAATGAATCCAATTGGTAAGGTAAGTAATTAAATAAAAGGGAAAGAAAGGGACCCAACAACAAGAAAATAACATAACAAGGATAAGCAAACACATATCAGTTATATCCACAAATGTAATGATCTTAATTCATCAAGTAAAAAGAAATAGATTGGCAAGATAAATTATGAAATAATATTTAACAATATGTTCTATACAGGAAACATATATAACTCAAAAGAAATTTGTATATCAAAAGTTAAAGGTTGGAAATCAATATTCCATGAAACAGGAACCTGGAAAAAAGCATTGGTAGCTATTCTTTTTGCACACAAATTGGATTTTAAGCTAAGACTAATCAAGAGAGACAAAGAATGTCCCTACATCCTTGTGAACAGAACAATCCAAGAGGAAGAGATGACAATCATAAATATATATATATATATATGCACCAAATACCAGCATACCCAAATATATAAAACAGATTTTAATAGACACAAAAAATCAAATAAGCACCAATACAGTTGTAATCTTGGATTGCAATACCATGTGTCACAAATAGATAGATGAACTAAACAAAAAGTCAACAAGAAAATCAGAAGTAATCCAAATCTCTTGAACAAATATACTTGATTGATATTTTCTGTGTGTTCTACCCCACAACATCAGAATATAAATTCTTCTTTGCTGCACATGGGATATAATCCAAAACAGACCATGTACTAGTTCATGGAACATCCTTAAATAAATGCAAAGAAATTGAAATTATCCTATGCATATTATCAGACTGTAGTGCAATGAACTTTGAATTAAATAAAAAAAGAAACCACAAAAAACCATGAACACTTAGGAATTAAATAACAACCTCTTGAACAAGCCAATGGGTCTCAGAGGAAATTAAAGGCACCTAAAAGTTTGTACATTAAGTAATATCCTGGTAGAACATAGTGGAACTTATGAGATGCAATGAAAGCAGTCCTACCAGTGAAATTCATAGCAGTAAACTCGCACAACAGAAAAACAGAACTAGTCCAAATAAATATTGTTGATCCTCATCCTTCTAGAAAAAGAAGAATAAGTCAAGCCCATAGCTCATCTAAGGGAGGAAAATATAAAGCTTAACAGCATATGTTAAGGAAATTGAGACTAAGACAATAATACAAATAATAAATCAAAGAGTTGGTACTTTATATGACTACATAAAATCAACAACCCTCTAGCCAACTGTATCACAAAAAAGAAAAAAAAAAAGACTTAAATCCATGCAATTAGGAATGAAAAGTGTGAAATCACAATGAATCCTGAAAAAATCCAAAAGATCATTAATACCTACTTTGAGAAACTGTATTTTAATAAAATGGAAAACACAGAAGAAGCGAACAGATTGCTAGATATGTAAGAATTGCCAAAATTGAATCAAGAATATATAAAAATTCTAAATAGCCCAGTATCAGTCAATGAAATTGAAGATATGATTAAAAACCTAGCAACAAAGAAAAGTCCAGATCCTGATGGGCTCACTGTTGAATTCTCTAAGAAATGTAGAAAAAATCTAATGCCATTACTCTTTAAACACTGAATGCTGTTCCTACGAGTACATTGCCTATATGTTTTTGCTGTTTTTATAACAACTTAAGAAATAAATTTATAAGTTGCCTCAACAGTCAAGACAGCTACTGGAGAACAGCTATACTATGGTGCAAAGAAAAATAATCCTTTTATAGGCATGAGGTACTTGTTTTCGGTGTTCAGAATAACCTGCCCTGGAACATTGGAGTGCTTGCTATGAATACTGCCCACCTTAATAGAACATAAGCTTGTATCTGGATACAAAATAGTCCAATATTTTGAAATATAACCTCTTTAACCCCTACTTTAAATACATTGCTATCACAAAACAAAAATTCAAGGTATTTCCCATGAATTTAAGACCTAGGTCAGACAGTATTTTTAAGAGGTGTAACACTGGGCAGTTAACACAATCCCTGTGAATCTCAACTATGTCATATAACAATTATAATAATAATGTCTAGCTCTAAGTACTTATTATTGAAATAGTCTATAAGGATTTACTTGAGTGAATTTGTAAATGTCACAAATATTAATAGTTCTCTGACCATTGTATGATTTTATAAAGTCAGGACATAGTCTAGAAAAGAAGTGGATGTTATTAGAGAGAACAGAATCACAATAATATTTTTTAAATGAAATCAAATTTTCTCAGACATAGGGCCTAAATCCACAAGCATTTATCTCTACAACCAGTGAAATGGGAGAAGATTATCAATCCTTTGTGCAAACAATGTCTGGTTACAAGTTCAGAATAGTGCTAAAACATAGGTTTGCATATCTACTCTGCCAGCCAGACAGAAACCAGCCAGGAGCCAGGAGAGAGAGGAGAAACTTGGAAATGCTTCTTAGAGGGGGCAGAGCCTGGAAGTGGAGCCCTGAAGAGCCTTGTAATTTGCAGACTGTCAGAAGATGTCAAGACCCATGACAGGAACCTCTCAGGACACACTGCATCTGTGTCTCCAGCTTGTTTTCCAGGCTGAAATTATAAGCAAAACAAAGCAATGTCAGGAAAGGATCAGTTTGGGAAAGATTAGATTCTGCTCCGTGAGCCATGAATTGATAGGAAGTTCCTGCTTGTGATCTTTATTCAAAATCAAAAGAAAACCCCATAGAAGCATTTGTTTTGACATTTCTTTAGCTTGACCCAGAGTACTGCCCTTAGAGAGAAGACTAGTTTAAAAGATGGCTTTTAGTAAACAGTATTTCAGATGTCATGGTTACTAAAAATAAAGGCCCTACTACTGTACTAGGTATCATTTCTCAAGGCGCGGTCATATATGTCCACCTCTCTTCACCCTCACCTCGGATCTGCCCTTCACTGTACCATTCCCTTCTGACTGCCAGGCTGCCAGCTCCCTGAAGGCTCACAGAAGTATGCACTAAAACCCAAACAGATACACTTGTTTCAAGTTGTCAGTGACTTTCCACTGCTCTGCTCTGTGCTCCCAACTTCCTATCAGCCTCCCCGTCAGTCCCTTACGAATACTGAACTTCCTTGAGTGCATCTCTGCGGACATCCTCCTCTCTCAGTGGCCAATGTCTTTCCTCTCCAGCATTCCCGATCTCCTTTCTACACAATCTTTGTGTTTCAGATTGAAATAAGTCCCTCAAAGACTGACAACGTCCACACATTTTCAGCTCTGTCACATTAGCTCTATCAAATATCTTTAGCTCTGTCATATATTCTCTCCCATCTCTCAGTTTCACATATTCACAGAACTTTTCACAGCATGCTCGGTGACATATTTTGCTGTTTCCATTTAATGTCCTCCCTCCCCTCAACATAAGCACCATGAAGGCAAGGACAATCATTATCGACTTTGTTTACTATTTTGTACTCAACGCATGGCATAATGCCTGACTTAAACAGCTATTGAGTAGAAAAATGATTAAATCTTAAGTATAATTGTTTATTCATTCATAGTAGTAAAAGCATCAACAGCCACAACTATTACAGTTGAACACTCCCAAACAAGCAACAACTTGCTTTGAATCTTAATTCTGACACCAATGTTAAACTTAGAATTTTGTCTCTTTAATCAGACAAGTAATTTGAAAGTATGTACCGTGTCTTATTCTTCTTTATGTTTCTAACATCTGGAAGATTGCAAATAGTCAACAAATATTTACACAATGATTTTTACATTTAACTCAGTA